AGGAAAAAAAAGATAAAACATGAATAATAAAATGGGAATAAATACATATCTATTAACAATTGAATCTAAAAATCACAATAAATGAACAAGGAATCTAATAAACAAAATGAGCTTATAAATAAAATAAAACCAGAGCCAAATGGAGAGGGCCCAGCAGCATCCATGATGCAAGAACCAGGGTTTCCCATGGGCTCCTAGTGGTCCCCAACCTGCCAGAGGCAGCGGAAGCAGGCGAGCACGGTGTACAGTACGCAAGAGCTGCAGCAGCTGGAGAAATTCTATGCAGGCAACTGTTAACTGACCTACCAGGACCGTGAGACCTTGGCTGCCAGGCTGAACCTTGAGGAGCACCAAGTCCAGGTGTGGTCCAAGAATCGCCAGGCCAAAGAAACTAGACTGCTGGGACTGTCCAGGCTGCAGGGCCTGGGAGCCTGCGCGCCTGTGCCTGCGGGCCTATGTGCCCCAGAAGCCTGTTTTCACCCTGGGGCCCAGGGTGCCAGGAGGATCCTGTATTCCTCACATAGGGCCCAGGTTTCTGCAGCCCCCTCAGCCCAGCCCCTTCGCAGTCTTCCTAGCAGCAGAACCCAGTGTCTCCAGCCACAGCGAGGCGTGGTGGGACCCTGAGCAGGGTGCCCAAGATATGGCCCTGGCTGCACCAGCTCCAGCCATGGCCCTAGTCTGGCTTCAGGGCTCCTAAGCCTCAAATTTCTCACCAGACCCCCATGTGATAGCTGACTTCACAGAGCTGCACTCACCCTAAGACCCCTTAGAGGGACCCTCCTCCTCCTCCACCTGGGTACCAAGAAGGAGACCTTGGTGGATGAGAAGGGCTCCGACCCCTGGATGTTACTGGCTCTATAAAGGATTGTGTCCCCGCAAAGCCCTGCAGATCCCGCGGTTCCAGAGGCGACTAGGGTGTCCAGCCAGCTCGGTGAAGCGTGAACACACCTCCATTTATCTAACTTAGGGAGGTGGCGTTTGCTATGTTCACTGTGTGGCCACCACTTGAACTGTTCTGATGTCCCTGCTGGGTTATTTGAGGCCCATGTGACATTTCTGCTGCTCGGAGTGGATGTTCCATTTCAGTGGTGCCCGTGAACTTTCCAAAGGACCTAGAGCAACCTCGTGGGCCATTTGATTTGAACTGCATTAAATCTGTAAATGTTTCAGGTGGTAATTGACATCTTTATACACTACTGTACTTTGCAAACTAAGTGTATTATTTATTCCTTCATTTGGTTGTTTACAAAGAGTCTTCACGAAGTGTTATTATTTTAATCATCGAAGTTTTAGGTACATCTTTGGGTAGGTTTGTTTCTAGTACTTTTTCATTGTCTGACATTTTGGATGGTATTTTTATTTTTTTAAATTTTTTAAATTTTTTATTTTTAAAAAATATCTTTATTGATTTCAGAGACAGGAAGGGAGAGGGAGAGAGAGATAGAAACATCAATGATGAGAGAGTCATTGATCGAGCCCGCAACCTGGGCCTGTGCCCTGACCGGGAATCAAACCCCGATCGCCTGGATCCTAGGCCGATGCTCAGCCGCTGAGCCACACCTGGCCGGGCTGGATGGTATTTTTAAAATCTGTCATGTTTATAGGATTTGGTTGACATATTATTTTGTTATCAGTTGACTATTATTTTGAGCCAGGGACCTGGCTCAAATTGTTAAAATTCTAAAAACTTTTCTGGACATGGTTTTGGGCTTGATAATTTGAAAATTAATAAAGTGCATGGTTATCTAGTAAAAAAAAAAAGAACTTGAGGCATGGAAACAGGCAACAGACTGATGGATCTCAGAGGGAAGGGGGAGAGGTGGGGCGGGAAGATATTAACCAAAGAACTTATATGCATACATGCATTATCCACGGACACAGACAATAGGGTGGTGATGGCCTAGGGCAGGGCAGGATCTTCGTGGAAGGGGGCAATGGGGGGAAAAAGGAAGGGACATCTGCAATACACTCAACAATAAAGATTTTAAAATATTTTAGATAAATAAATGGTACACTCACCCAAAGGATTAAAATATAAAAGTAAAATGTCCTATGTCATTTCTCCCAAATACACAATGGACATTCAAAGAAAATATATAGAAACATTTATAAGCAATGCTACAGAAAATAAACTACATAATTTAAAAGTGAAATCACATACCTGGACTACAGGAATCACAGAGTAATTCACACATGGTATAATAACTTTTAAAAAATCACTTATTTTTCTTTTAGACAGGTCCAGTTAGTATAGACACTTCAAATTTTGAGATAGTCATTAATACACTAACAGAATCTTGCTCTCAGCAATGAACACAACATTTGAGGGCATGCATTATTTTCATAAAACTTAAAATCCTAGATAAAAACAAAAATACAGAAATGAGTTTTCAGCAGCAAAACAGATAATTCTCTGATGTAGAAACGCAAAATGTTCTGAGGAAAACAGTAATATATCTGTTAAACAAGAAAATTTAACTGTAATAAATCTGGGAAAAGTCTATAGCTATATAAGCTCTACCTTCAGCTTTCCATTTTATTAGCAATTATATCCTGCAATTCTATTCATTTGTTGATAGCTACATTAATTTAATTATCTTCTGGTAATTTCAATATATTTACATTTTTCTAGTCCCCTAGAAATCTTCCTCTTTCAATCCTTTTTACTCAACTTTTTTAGTCCCTCTCTAGTAATGTAACTTTTTCTGTGACTAGTCTAGTTCCATGTAAAATTAAAAAAAAAAAAAAATTTCATAAGAATGACAGCTCTCCTAAGAGGTAGAGTTTCTTGTGTTAGTTTCATTTGTCCTCCAGTTTTATCCACTGCATTCCCAGCCTGTTTCATTGCATCAGTGTCTACACAGACGCCACCCTACAACTTCAGCCACATCCTGTGGAATTCGTAGCTCTCACACCCATCATTTCCTTTATGCTCCAGCAGAAATAATTTTATCCATATTGCCAGTCACCAGCAATCGTACTATTGCACCTTCACCTCTCCAGTTCATGTCTCAGATAGACACCAGGATTTATCTTTGATTTATACTATCACATTTACACCTAGTTTAAAATTAACATTGAATGAAACATTTCCAATGAACTACAATTCTCTATAAAACGTTACCTGATCTTTGAAGGTCCTTTAAAAGAAGCCCTTAGTCATTTACTAATAAATAAGCTCACCACCACCCCAGCCCCATTTCCCATCAATCTAAACACCTTAGGCTACGCTCTCTTCCCCAAACACAGCATATATTTCACATTACCCTGCTGTCCGTTGAACTGTTCCCACAAGGTTAAGGTTAGATTTTATTTTTAATGTGAAATGAACACTTAGTGGAAAAAATTTTATAAAGAACCTTGTGTATATTAAAACTTATTACAGAAAATATGAAGCATATCCCAAATTAGGTAGAATAGCATAATAAAGTCCCAACAACCCCTCACCCAGCTTGAATGATTATTAACATGACCAATTTTGGTTCAACAATTACTCCATTTCCTATTTCCCCCAACCCTCACTCCATTATTTAAAGCAAAACCCTACGTCATTCCATTTTATACTAATATACTTCAGTAAGTACCCTTAAAAGATATGGATGGTGTTTTGCTTTTACAGAACCACAATTTCATCACCACAGCTTAAAAAACACCTTAATTTTTTAATGGGGGTTGGAAGGATGGGAGATAAACATGAAAGAGATTAAGTACAAATTGCTAGTTATAAAAATAGTCATGGAGATGTAGAGTACAGCATAGGTAATGCAGTCAATAATATTGTAATAAGTATGGATGGTGCCAGATGGGTACTACACTTGTCCTGTAAGTCACATCATAGGTATATAAATGTCTAATCGGTATATTGCACACCTGAAGCCAATATAATATTGTATGCCAACTATATTTAAAAAATAAATTAAATTTTTTTAAAGTTAAAAATCAAAAACAAAAAAATCCAAACTTAATTCATTATCATCAAATAGCCAATGTTCAAATTTCCCTAAATGCCTTGTAAATATTTTTTAAACTGATTTACTCAAAACAATAAGCGAACATGATCAACAAATGTACTAGGTTGATGTGTCTCCCTTTTTCATTTTATTTTTATCTTTTTACTTTCCTGACATTTATTTGTTGAAGGAGCAGGGTCTTTTTGCTGTATATTCTCTCAAGTTTTATTTTTTTCTGAGTGCATCCCTAAATAAATGTTTAAGATATTCATTTAGCAGTTCTAAACCTTGCTTGCAGATTGGAATCACCTGGGAGTGATCTAAACAGCTTGAAGGCTTGGTCCCATCTCCAGAGATTTTGATTCACTGTCTGGGTGCAGTCCCGACACAGGGAGTTTAAAAAGCTACCCCGGTGTTTCTACTGTGCAGCTAAGGTTGAGAACTGTTGCTCTCTCCCAGGGATCCTTGACTTTGGCTGCACATTGAATCACCTGGGGAGCTAAACAATCTTCTCATTGTGAGCTTCTGACTTAACTGAGCTGGGCTATGACTTGGTACTTGGTTTTTGAAATCTCCCTAAGTAATTTAATGGAAGACAAGTTTAGAATCACTGCTCCGTCCCATGCGTCCTGATGGCAGTTCCATCTGGTGGCTGGATTGGAAGCACTTTTATTGCAGTTCACACTCCTTAGTAGAGCATTTAACTTAATGAATCAGGACGAAATCCCTGTTTCACTGGGTTCTACTCCATGTTAGCCCATATTTCAATGCACCTATTTAGATTTTTTAATAGGAGCCCCAAAGACCAAGGCTTCTCCATAACACACAAAGTCCTTCTATTACCAAGTGAAACTGAGTAGAATTTCCAGAGAAACTAGTCACCTGTGAATCCAGACTATCAGGAGAAAATGGAATTTCAGAGCTAAGATTAAATGGGACCCCTTTGAAAAAACTTATAAATTTAAGCAGGTCACTTAAAAAGGTGCGATTTACTCAACCTTTTTGGGATGATACTAAAGAAATACCCAAGGTTAGCAAGAATAGACTTACAATGAGGAAACAGGCGCCAAGCATCACAGCTTTCATTTTCACATCAAGGTCTACAGGGAACTGAATGTCAAAATCACTGTAATCTGTAAATGCCTCTCTCACAAAACCAGTCCACTGCTTGGAAATCTTGCCAACCACATTTTCTTCATCAAGGGATTTAATCTAAATTGAAAAAAAGTGACAGTCTTAAAGAATTCTAGAAAACTAATAATAAAACTACTTTCAAATCTGGAATAAAATGAAATGAATATGTTACTAAACTTACATGCAATACGTAAGCATGACCATTAGATCACTCGTCAGAGGCATATAAATTCCTGTATCTATAGATACATGAAAAAAAGTCTTTGCTACAGAAAACTTATATGAAAGTAGTTTTACTGAAGTATTTAACATCTTATATTGTACATTAAGACACAGTACTAAATCTTTGAACTGATCTAAAACAAAATTTAATCAGGAAAAGATACAAACNTTAAGACACAGTACTAAATCATTTGAACTGATCTAAAACAAAATTTAATCAGGAAAAGATACAAACATGAAACGTTTCTTTGATGAAATTTCTAGAAGCCATCAGGAAGGCAGCAAACTAAACCCCCATGTGACACATCTGCAGTAAGACGAGCACAGAGTTTCCAAAGGCTGAGTGACTAAATGTGATGGGAGGGACACTACCACTTGCTCTCAGCAGGCACACAGGAAGTGCTAAGGGCCTGGGAAAGGAGACTAGCAGTTCTGAGTGGAGAAAGTATCCAATAAGTAACTTGAGGGGATGCCACAGGTCCAGGGCTGGGATAAGACTGGACAACAGGAGAGAGGAGGAGGAACAGCAAAAGAAAAAAGCTCTGAAGTAAAATTTTTCTAATTTTACAATTCTTCCTGAGGAAACTCCAGGGCCACCGTAGAGTTGAAAAGATCGTAGCTGCACAATTGCAGCTCACCAAGTGGGCATGTGGGGGCTGAGGGTAGGCACACTCACCACGGTGTGTACATGTAGGGTTGAGTCAGCCCAGGAAGAGAAATGTCCTGTTCAAAATGTACACAAGGTAGCCATGTCCAGCAACACCCTTTGGAGCCCTGGCTCAGGTTGGGAGCTGCTAAATAAATGTGGGGAAACTAAGCACAGTTGACTCATTTTATTCTGGTGTGGGTGATAGCATGCGTTACTGCTCCCCAATATTCATCACCCCTCCCACTGTAGGCCCAGTATTCTTCCCTGAACACTGATACTTAGGCTTGGCCATGCGACCTGCTTGACCTATGGAACGTTAGTATATGTGATAGTGGGAGTGAGCGGAGACCTTGAACATGGCTAAGTGGCTTGGCCTGGCTCTTGCTCTCCAGTGATCAGCCACTAGAGATTCATTCGGTCTTGCTACAGCTCTAGAATGAGCATCCCTGGAGCAGGCCTGAGGCCAACTTATAACCTAAATCAGAGCCACCTAGTGGAGCCTATGTGTACCCACTGTGACTCAGCTGACCTGCAGACCCATGAGCATGGGAATAAATGCCTGCTGTTTTAAGCCACTGAGCTTTAGGGGCTTTATACACACTATTCTGGGAAAAAGAGACTAATAAATCTTTTGTATCTTTTTTTTCTTAATTTTATTTTTGTTTAAAATATTACAGGTGTCCCTTTTTCTCCCCAATGACCCGTTCCACNGTATACACACTGTTCTGGGGAAAGAGACTAACAAATCTTTTGCATCCTTTTAGTGTTTTACCTCTTAATAGCTGTCATCTAAGCATTTGTAGTTTGTAAAGTAATCTTATTTTGCTTTTTAAATTTATTTTTAAGTTTGAAAATTTTTGAAAATGAATAATACAGAGGATAAATTTTGAGCCACAATAATACCACACTAGGTTTAACAGATATTAATATTTTCCCTTTTTTATTCCTATAGCAAGAAATCGTATACTTCATCAATATTCATGCAAAAAAGTAAAAAACAGCTTTTTAATGGAAAGGATCAGAAATATGAATAATGACAATTGAAAAGTTATCAGGACTAGGTACTTTTTAACTAAATTCTAGGTAACCTTTTAAAAACAGAAAATCCATATAATAAAGTTCTTTCCTCTTTGAAATAATAAATTCTATTTGTGACACAATAAGAACTATATCTTTAGTTTTTGTCTTTGGTTCCTGACATAGAGCTTTAAAACTCCTTATCTTTTTGAGTGATAGGAATTATAGGAGAGTCTTTTGTTATAATATTTGGTCTTTGCCTCAGGTTATTAGCACATAGATCTTAAAACCATTGTATTCTCCTGAGTGATAAATCTTTTGTAGGGTAATGAAATGACTGGTGGCTGTGGGTCCCTGATAGCTTCAGGATGAGGGCTGGTCACCAGGTAGTCCAAACAATGATTAGAGACTTGGCACTTTTACCTCTTCCTTGACTCCTGGGAAGAAACAGGGGCAAGAGATTGACTTAATCAACAATGGTCAATGATTTAATCATCCATGCCTATTTAATGAAATCTATGTAAAAACTCCAGATGATGGGGTTTGGAGAGCTTCCAGATTGCTGAGTGCATCTATGTTCTGGGAGGGTGGTGCACCCCCATCTCATGGGACAGAAGCTCCTGAACTCAGGACCCTTCCAGGCCTTACCCTATATATTTTTTCATCTTGCTGTTCATCTGCATCCTTATAATATCATTTATAAAAACCTGTAAACATGAGTAAAGTGTGTTTCTGAGCTCTGCAATCCATTCTAGCAAATTATTGACCCCAAGGAGGGCATCATGGGACCCCTAGATTTATAGCAGTCAGTCAGGAGTGCAGAATGTCTAGGACTTGTGGTTAACATTTGAAATGAGGGCAGTTAGTGGGACTGAATCCGCAACCTGTGGGGTCTGCATCAACTCTGAATATTTAATGTCAAGTTGAATTAAGTGTAGTGCAGCCAGTTAGTGTCCAGGGAGTTGGAGAATTGTTTGGTATGGGAACTAGTCCCCCCATACATTTTGTGTCAGAAGTGTGGATACCATTATGGCATATTATATTTGAATTAAATTTACAAATACATAAATTTAATACCAATAAATGTTAAAGGTATTTTAAAAAGAAAACTATAGACTCACCTATAATGTAAATATAATGCAACCTCCCCACCAAAGGACACTAGTACATATACCTAGGTAAGTATCAAGACAATATACTGTAACAAAGCATAAAATACTAGAAAATTGATGCAATTCTAAACAAGTGCTCATATCAATGGCTGCTGAAAAGATATTTTATTATTTACTAATTAGGCATTTATATAACATTTAGCATACACATGGCATGCAAAGACTTTATGATTGATAGGTAATTTAATGCTCATAATAATCTTGCAAAATATTTACTATTATTATATGCAATTTTCGGAAGAAAAATTGAAGCAAAGGAAGGTTAAGTACTTTGTATAACATTACACAAATAAGAAATTATGGAGATGGGTTTCAAACTCAGGCATTCTATCTCCAAAGTCTGATCTCTTGACCACTATGATATTCTCCCTTTAAAAAAGTTAGATATCAATTCCTAATAAAAATCTCAGTTGAAAGTCAGCAAATGATGTTCAGTAGCACAAATCTGCCTGCCTTCTGTCTTTTAAATAAATTTTTATGAGCATACAAATATGTCCATTCATTCATGTATTGTCTACAATTGTCTACAGTGGTAGAACTGAGTAATTGTTACAATAACCATCTGTCTTACAAAACCTTAAATATTCTCTACATGACCCTCTACCAAAACATACAAACAAACAAACAAACAAACAAACAAACAATATGCTGATTCTTGCTCTAGGCAAGGTAGGAATAGAAAAATGACATGAAAAACAATAGAGATGTCTTTTAAAATTATGAAATATTTTAAAAGCAATATTTTTCTAAATTATGGGATATTTGCTACTATTTCAATTGAAATCATCAACATGGTAGGTATTCTCACTGTTGTAATCATTATAATTTGCTGTATTATAAGTAGGCTGGGAAAAAAATGAGCCTATTGGTATATAAAGATTACAAGAGCTACCATAGTCTCATTTGCACTGTGATTTTATACCTAGATAAACCACATAAATGAAGCATAAACACCCAATTTTAATACTAGAATACTGTTATATGACTAAATAAGAGGTAAATAGAAATAAATAGCTTTTCTTAGTATTAGTTATCAGCTTCTAAAAATATAAGTATTCTTCCCTATTGGTAATAATCACTATAAATTACTTAGGATTAAACTTAACAAAAAAAGGCAGAAGTTCTATATGATGAACCTATGTGGTGTTATGAAGAATAGAATTAGATAAAAATGAATTAAAAGACATAACACTCCGAGATGGCACAGGTTTAGTATCATAAATGTGTTAATTTAAAAATAATAGATTTAACACAATTCTGATTAGATTCTAACTTCTGAAAAATTGAATGACATGATCTTACTGCTCACATAAAAGGAAACATTAAGATAATAGCAAGAAAATATGATAAAGAAGAATGAGTGGTCATTTTGCTATGACAGAGGACATATCATTAAGCCACCATAATCATACCATAAGGCATCGCTGAAAACCATATAGTTAGGTTATTGCAACAGAGGAGAGAATTTAGAAACACACCCCATTACTTGTGGAATTTAATGCATGGCAAGCATAGTATTTCAATTTAGCAAGGAATAAATAGTCTACTTAATAAATTCTGATGATGAACTGTCTATTCTTTTTTTTTAAATTTTTTTAAAAAATATATCTTTATTGATTTCAGAGAGAGGAAAGGAGACGGAGAGAGAGAGACAGAAACATCAATGATGAGAAAGGCATTGATCGAGCCCACAACCCGGGGATGTGCCCTGACCGGGAATCGAACCCCGATAGCCTGGATCCTAGGTCGACACTTAACTGCTGAGCCACACCCGGCCGGGCACTGTCTATTCATTTAAAGAAAATAAAGTTTGTCCCTATCTTGTACTAATACATTTCCTGGTGAGATAAAGATTTAATTATAAATATAAAAAAGAATAAATAAAATAGAAGATTTGGGGAGGGACTTCATAATAAAGAAAACCAGGAGCAATGAAATTTTTGTATGGAGAAAAGATAAATATAAGTATAAAGATATATATATATAGTCTAAAAACAAAAGTTAGATTTGTGGAAACT